CAATCAAGTGTGGATAAATTATTGATTATCTGTATGTTACAACGAATAGGAGAATTATTATTATTATCGTCAGCTTTATTCACTATTATATTTTTGGTACAATATAGAATTCTCAGCGCAGTGTTTCAACAAGTTTCCGTTTCTTTCTTCTTGGTCGGTCCTGGCGATAGATATTGAGTGATCGCCAGTTAGATGTTAGCAATCCAGTAAATGAACATCTGAATAATGTGCATTCTTTTCGTTGTATATTGCCAGCAACCACATTGTCTCTTACTGAGCTTTTTGTAACTTTGATAACGAAAGGTTGTACACTTTTCAGAAATGCACCTGGATAGCTTATGCGATTAGTAGACATAATGATATATTAAAACAAACAAAAATAGATAACTTTTTGAAATGTTTAGATGGCAGGAACAGGTAGCCCAGATGCTCAAGCAGGCCGCCAATTAAGGTTGTGTGCAAACACGCGCTCAATCATACACACACAGAAATTAACATAGTGAAGTGTCTGAATTACAGTGAGTAGACAAATGCTACAATAGCTGAATGGGCTTGCTACAAGCACACTTATCGTATGCCTGCACCACTTCATTTGATGAAAATTCACAATCAGTGTTGACTATTACGTTTCGTCTAACTTCAATATTGCTCACTTAGTTGTCCCAACATATGTCCCAGCGATGCCTCGAAAACAAATATGATCAAGAACCAGCAGTTTACGCATGTTTACTATTTTTATGAGGTCACGTTTCAATACCTGTAGGGTAATAAAAAGTGGAGTGCTGGTCATTATACTCTCCCCTTCGTTGGAAGATAGAAATCTTTTTTTCGTCACCCTTGATAATCAGAATTTCACATATCTTCCTTCCAACCCTGCTATTCTTTCTATGAGCCGTAATTTTTCATTTCTTCAATAGTCTCTTACTGATATATATATATATATATATATATATATATATATATATATATATATATATATATATATATACTGCAATATTTTAATATCACACGCCACCACGAATAGCTCAGTGTTAACATCTCAGACTGTGAAGCTGGGTGATGCATGTTTGAATTCCATAGGAGCGTCAGTTCTTTTAAGACAGTAGGTATGCCTTCCAGACCAGTTCCAACTATCACAAAACCTAGATCCACGTCTTATTCTGAACTATCTTCAACCACTTAAAACCTCCATAACCCCACTCCTACACTACATTTACGAGTCTATCTCTTAACCATATATATAATCCATTTGAAGAGCTTAGTTAGTGGTTAGCATTTTTTTTAGCGAGTTAGTTTTCTACGGGATGTGGTCACTAACCCCATGCCCAACCCTCCTCCTTTATTCCGGGCTTGGGGACGGCAGTAACCCCAGAGGGACTCCGGGCGGATTTATACGTTTATTTGTCTAACTTATTTATTTATTGTACACTTACCTTTGTACTTATTGTGTTTTTTTTCGCTTGTCTATATTTATTACTTGTCACAACCCTATCCTGTAGTGAATCTCCGAAAAATTCCTTATCCAATCACAACCATGGATTCGTCAACAAATCTTCACCTACAATACTCAAAAAATATATGAATACTAATAATAATGATAATAATATTAATACCAATATCAAAACTTCTAAACAACGCAATGGTGATATCAATTTAATGTTTGATCATTCATCGTCTAATTCTTCGACATCTTCACCTCACCTTCTTGTATTCACTGATTGTTTAAACAATCCAGATAATAATAATAATAAACAATCAATAAGAAAAGAGCAAATGATTTCTGGCAATTCATCATCATTATCATCACCTTCATCATCGCATAATTCTGTCATTGAATTACAATGTATTATGAAATCAAAATCAAAGGATTCACAAAATCAATCATCTATATTCTTTCATGATATATTCAATGCAAAAACTGCTCCTGTTACACCATGTCGTAGAATAAAACAACATCAACATAACTATACTACTAAAATATCAGATACAGGAATATCAAATTATGAACCGAAAAAGTGTACAAATATCACCACTACTACTACTACTACTACTACTACTACTGACAATGATAATAATAATAGTACTAGTAGTAAGCATAAATCTTCTACAATGCTTGTTACTAATACATCATTTAAAGATTTCAATAGTGGACATTATCAAAGAAAGAAAAATCTATCCTATTGTAATGCATCTACTGAACGTAAATTAACTACAAGACTTTAGATTAAATTGAGTTATTGTTTTACTTTCTATTCATTTTTCAACTATGTTGACATATACAACTGAATTAGGAAAGAGATAGGTAGAGAGAGAGTGTAAAAGAATTAGATTAAATCCTATGTGTTATGCCTCTCTCCCCCCCCCCGAATTTTCTTTTTCTCTATGTATTTAAGGTGTTGTTTTTTTCTAGACTCTGTACATACCGAAGCATTTAGATGGCCTAATATAATTAAATGTACATAGTAAGTAAAAGAATTCAATGATACATTTACACCGTGTGAGTGTGTGTGTGTGTGGGTGGGTGGATGGGTAGGGGATATTAGCTACCACTATTGTTGTTATGCAAGACTCATTTCATTTGTTGATCACAGCTACATATGATTTGTTACTTTTGTTTCCATATTTATGTTTGTATAGGCGTTTATGCACCTGTATTCACATATCTTATTGATTGTTCACCTATGTGTTATAAAAGGAAAATTTCTCGATTAGTATAAGATTTCAACAGGTCGTGTCAAGATTTTCATATGATGTCTAGATGGTTCAATATTGAAAAGGCGTTTTGTTATGGTTGAATACTTTTGATTTGTTTACATCCCTTATTCCTACTGTATGATTTCAACTCAATGATTCAATAGTATTATGTTTAACACAACGATATTGTCTTCAGTTCCATTTTATATAGCTGCTTATTAATAACAAGTTTTATTCAAGAACAGAACAACTGTTCAGGAAGTTAGCTCAAATTGCTAAGAAATAAATAACACATACTACTACATAGAAGATCACAAAGGGAAAAGCAACATTCTCCGATACAACACAACATACATCAGTCGAATCATACTTGACGGAGAAAATTTGGAAGATGTAAAAACCTTTACATATCTGGGGAGCATCATTGATGAACACGGAGGATCTGATGCAGATGTGAAGGCGCGGATCGACAAAGCAAGAGCAGTATATTTACAACTGAGAAACATCTGGAACTCAAAACAATTGTCCACCAACACGGTCAGAATTTTCAATAAGAATGTCAAGATAGTTCTACTGTGTGGGGCGGAAACCTGGAGAACTACGAAAGCTAACATCCAGAAGACAAAACTGTTTATTAACAGTTTTTCTACGCAAAATACTTTGGATCTGTTTGTCAGACACTATCAGCAACAACGTACTGTGGGAGAGAACAAACCAGATCCCATTGGAGGAAGAAATCTGGAAGTGGATAGGACACAAATTAAGGGTAGCACCCAACTGCGTCACAAAGCAAGCCCTCACCTTGAGATTTTCAAGATCAAAGAACACATTACGCCGAGAAATGGGGATAGACAAACATGAGAATGAACAAAAATTGGATAGAACTAGAAAGGAAGTCAGAGGACAGAGTGGAATGGAGAATGCTAGTCGACGACCTATGCTCCATTGGGAGTAACAGGCATCGAAGTCGAAGAAGACTACATAGAAGATATATTCATAATTCTATTGTATCACATTCCTGCTTTTCACATTGTTGAATACATTTTATTGCTACTAATATTATCATTATTCACAGTCATTATCACTGAATCCAAGAGTTACTTTTGAATCTTTTATGTTGATACACGTGTACTGTGTGTGTGTGTGTCGCACCAAACCATGCACTATAATGATTCTTTGTTAAGTAAAATAACAAACTTGTTTGTCTACTTATGTTCAACAAACTATCACCGTATTCATGTAATCATTGCTTAATCTACGTCTCATTGCACTATGAATTTTGTGTGTTTATTAATGATGAGCTTAAATTATCATATTCATATGCATTGATTATCTCACTTGCACCTATATGAATTATGTTTAATGCACATAACACTTTCATTTCGATTTATACTGAAATTCTTCTTCATTTTTTTTTCACTTTTTTTAGATGGGAAGAAAATCTCTGTTACTAAACGATTACTTCATAATTTTCCACTTAGTAGTTCACCTTCAATACTCTATCAATCATTGTTTATATCACCTCAAAAAGATCATTCATTTAATAGTTGTACTACATCATTAACAAATCATATTGATTCAATTCATTATCGTCTTTCACAAACATTTCCATTTGTATTGCCTACATCAAAAATAAGATCATCATCGTTACATTTACCTAAGTTATCATCATATCAACAACAATCTCAACATTATTCTTCTACAAATCTATCTCATTTAGCCTTAGCTGCTCTTGCAGCTGCCCAAGTAACAATTTCTAATAATAATAATAATGATTATAAACATATTACACATGATGAGAATGTTACTTTTGTTCATCATCATCATCATCATCATTCCCCGGTTTTAATGTCAACATCGAATGTTTCTCATTCACAATCCTCTCCAGTAAAATTAGCAAATAATTTAGAAGTAATTCGAGAAGTAAGCTTCTTTTTATTGAATATTTAATATTTTGCTTAATCTTTTTGTGCATCTCTTTCGAAAAAGTTGAGGTTAGTGTTCTGCTGTTTGATACTCGTAAGCTACTAGTATTTGACCACAAATGCCTCAGAAATATTGCTCTCATCTGCTGGGATCACTGGATAAGTAGTAGTGAGGTTAGACGCAGGAATGATGGTAAATCAGTTAGTGAGGTTGTTAATCTTCATCGGCTGAGATTGTTAGGCCACGTGTTACGTATACCTGAACACCGATTACGACGACGCGCAATGCTGACTAGTTTTGGGGATGGTTGGAAGAAAGTTAGGAGTGGCCGAAGTAAAACATGGCATCAGTGCTTGAAGTCACTAACTTCGGGTCTTAGCCATGTTGGTATTATTATTATTATTAGCTTTATTCAATATTATAATTTTGGTACAATATAGAATTCTCAGCGCAAAGTATTTCAACAAGTTTCCCTTTCTATCTTCTTGGTCGGTCCTGGCGATAAATATTGAGGAATCGCCAGTTAGATGTTAGCACTTCAGTGAATGAACAACTGAATAATGTACATTCTTTTCGTTGTACATTGCCAGCAACCATATTGTCTCTTATTGAGTTTTCTGTAACTTTGACAACGAAAGGTTGTACACTTTTCAGAAACGCAGCAGAATAGGTTATGCGATTATTAAACATAATGATATATTAAAACAAACAACAATAGATAACTTGTTGAAATATCTAGATGGCAGGAACAGGTAGCCCAGATGCTCAAGCAGACTACTTGGTTGGAGTCCGCGTGACTATCGTAACCAATGGTTGGATACTGTGTGTGACATGGCTCAGAATCGACCACAATGTCATCGGTATATACATAACATTTCAGTACATATATGTTTGTAATTAGCTGATTAGAAATCATGAAATATGAGATCATGTTATTCTGCGTCCATTGTTATTTTGGCTTCATTCAAGTTAATAAATAGAACCAACTGTTATATCTTGTGGCCTTGTGTCCTATTAATTTATGACATAATGATACCTTCAATTAGAGAAGAGTGATTTATCGACCGGACCAATGACGCATAAAACCCGTACGAACAGTCTACAGTCTTTATCGGTCCTGGTTCCCGCCTAGCTCTGCTTATTAAGTCCAGAACATCAATCTCAGCCTCTGCAATATGAATCATATATTTCAAACATACTCCGTTTACATACAAACCAAACAGACCATATCGTACCGTAAAATAGAAAATAACATTTGTACATGATCCAGTGAAAAGTGACTGTGAATTTGGGGGACAGTAATTGATAGACTGGGCATAACTCCAGAATGGTAAATCGTATAATAACAGGGTGAGACTATAATCTATGGACGACCTATGAGCGACGCCAAAGTGACCTTGAGAGTGTTTACCCACTTACTAGGGCCAAATGAGGGTCATAAAGCCATCTGAAGAATAAGGATTATGATTTACAGTTGATGGTTAGGGTTACGAAATTAGATTTAGGGTTTTCATCACGAATTAACATCAGCTATAACGCCAAGTGTTATAATCTCTTTCTTACGGTTATGACCCAGCTATTCCCATTGCTTAGTATCCTCGGACACCGATTCACTCGACAAGTCCCCAAATCAGAACACGGTTGAACAGGAAAAAGATTATCTTCCAAAAAACAAGGTTAGATGGAAGTAAGACGCACAATAGGAAAAACGTTAGTACGTTTATAGTTTTTATACGAGAAGATTCTAGAGTGTTCTCCAACCATCGAATAGTGCTGATTGAACAAGAATTAGCCAATCAGCGTTCACCAAAGCAATCGTGCATTGAGCATGCTTTAATCCAGTCTATGTCCCGCTAACACCAAGACTGTATTTAGCCAAATGGGTGAATGAATTTTGCGCCAAAATCTGAGATCTGTTATCGTAAATCTGATTGGTTTGTCCGTAAATTATAGTCTCACCAATAATAGTTTTGATGTGAACAGAGAAACAAGAAGCCTTGACAAACTGCGAAAGCTATTTTTTGGGACTTTATTTCGATTCATTCAAAGCTTGTAAAACAAGAACATTTATTTTTGTCCCTAATCTATTCAACAAATCATAAGCTTTCGTTTGATGTATGATTCACTGTCATAGCCCTTTTCTGTTCCGAAGCTATTGTAATTTAAACATTATTTTGTACTCTATTTTCTACGCTAATCTCCAGTCTTGGACATAATTGTATATTTTCTAATTACTGTACTTTGTGGTCGGGTTAATCATCTACTTATTCATGTATCTTTTTACACTGATCTAAAAATCGGGAACCAGATCGGAATCGAGTAGTGTTCCAGTTGACTTGTCTTCTCTCAGTCGCGCGCTTGTCAGCCAATCAGGTGATAGAATAGTTTTATTCTCTCTACCCCACTTCGAACTCACGCGTACCAGCCTCAAGGTTAAGCCGGTCAGCCTATCGCGCCAAAGTCTTAATCTAGATAAGACGAGTTATCCTCAGCACCAAAAATGGGTAGACAGATCAAGAACGTAACAAGTTCATGGGTCAAAATAAGGCTTATCATAAGAGGGACACGAATATGAATAGTTTAATTGTTTAACAATTATACGATAAAAATATACAGTCAGTCAGTCAGTCAGCTACAACGTAGGACCAGGCACATATGTGCATCGGTCCAGGTTGCCATACCTCATTAGCACAGCAAGATGAACACCGGATTCATAGGAGTGGTTAGGTCAAAGGTATATACGCATAGTATTAGTCCAGAAATACACTCCAACAGTTACCATTGATTATTCTCATCGGGATATAACACCAACTGGATGAAATTTCTGAAGAGTCACCTCCGTGTTCATATTTCGAAGTTACTCAGTGGTTTTGTAACAATCCATTACAGAATTCCTAAAGAAACGAGATCAGAGTTTTTTTTTGAACGATTGTCTAATCGTTTGTCAACTTGATTCTCACTATTTCAAATTGTTTCAATTAGTAGGTATAATGAAAACTACGTGTGTGTGTTTTTTTAGTTCAATTAGAAAATGGTTTGGATTATCCCATCGTTCACATTTTTGACTAAAATTTGATCATGTTATGGCTTTATGTTGCGGTCGATTTTTACCCTGTGCTAATTGTTGTGTCCTTGACTGGAAAATTAGAGAGCAGCGTACTTATCCATTGATTACAGTGACACGTAAACACGTACGGACGGCCTAGAGTCTCGATTGGTTTGCGCTTCCCTGTCTAACCCAGTCAGTTGAGTCCAGAACACAAGCCACAACCTCTGAGATATGAATCATTATATTTCAAACATACTTTGTTTATATACCAATCAAGCATACCACATCGTACCATAAAAATAGAAAACAACATTTTGTACAATATTCAACAAGTGAACAGATATCGACCAATAGGAAATGTCCATTTAAAGTCCAAGGACACCATTAGACTTAACATGATAATGATTGGTCTATTCCTCCGCATCCACAACAGATCAATTTTGGTTGGTATATATGTACATCTTGTGGATCGCCTCAGTCAGCTACAACGTAGGACCAGGCACATATGTGCATCGGTCCACGTTGCCATACCTCATTAGCACAGCAAGATGAACAGCGGATGCATAGGAGTGGTTAGGTCAAAGGTTGCAATAAGGATATAGTATAGGAAGAAAGAATTAGTTCGTAGAAAGAAAGATATGAAGCGATTTTAATCTCTTAGTTTAAGGGAAGACAGGGAGTGTATGCACCGACGCCATTGTGATCGATTCTGAGCCATGTCACCAAGAGTCTCCAACCATTGGTTACGATAGTCACGCGGACCCCAACCAAGTAGTCTGCATCTACCAACATGGCTCAGACTAGAAGTTAGTGTCTTCAAGCACTGATGCCACGTTTTGGTTTGACCGACCTTAACTTTCTTCCAACCATCCCCTACCCCGGTTAGCATTGCACGTCGTGGTAATCGGTGTTCAGGCATACGTAATACGTGGCCCAACCATCTCAGTCGATGAAGATTCATAACCTCATCAACTTATTTACCATCATTCCCTAATACCCTGCGTCTAACCTCGCTATTACTTACCCGGTGATCCCAGCAGATGCCAGCAATATTTCTAAGGCATCTGTGGTCAAATACTAGTAGCTTACGAGTGTCTTCTACTCTTAAGGGCCATGTTTCGCCTCAACATACTCATCTATTTTATAATGAATATGTTTTCATAATTCAAAACTAACCTTAATTCATATTTATCTGTGTAGTCTGAAGAAGTGAGTCGTACTAAGTCACGAAACATCAGAAACACAAATTTCTACTCATCGGTATATATTTATTATTGGCGTTAATTCATAGATTCAGATTAGATATAATTAAATAATGCTAATATTACGCTATGATTATTGTTTCGTATTTTATCTCTAGGGTCCTTTACTATGTTGTACTACCTCTTTAACATCATTTAAAATTGCCAAGTTCCATAATTCATCATCAATCAGTAGTAGTAATACATCATCATCATCACCACCACCAGCACCACAATTGTCAACTTCATTTACAGATCATTTCAATATTTCCACGATTCCATTTTGTCAAACTCTTCATAATATGAATCTATCAACTTTGGAATTACAAGTAAATAATAATAATAATAATAATAATCAATCACCAATAAAACAACAAAATAAGTTAAATATACATTCATCACCTACTATTACTGCTAATCTTTCATATTCTTATTCACAAACTTCTTTATCTTCCATGACATCTACTTCATTATCGTCTTCTTGTTCTTCGTCTTCCAATAATAATAATAATAGTATCCATGATGATGAACAATCTACAGACTATAGAAATGAACATTTATCCCCTCAATTAATTTCTACTAATTGTCATTGTAAATATTTAAGAAAATCTTTATTTTCACGTACATTTTATAAAAAATTTAAAAATTATTGGGCTGTACTACTTATTTCATTCAATAATCATAATAATGAATATGCTTTTTTAGTTTTATTTAAAACTCATACAAAACAATTAATTTCATGGTCATCTATTTTATCTTCACAATTGAATAAAACAAAAATGTATAAAACTCAACTTCTTTTCAACTCACCGAATTATGTAAGTTTTCCTTTTTTTTGTGTGTGTGTGTGTGTGTGCTCTGATTTATTACTTTTAATAGTTATAATGTAGTGAAGAATATCAATCCATTGTCTCGCATTTCATTGCTCATGCGATTTCTTACAAATTCCATTGTTTTCTCGCTCTTCTTTTCTTGATCTTCTCCATCTTCTGCTCCCAGCCATTACGTTCTTTTGACTCACGTTATATACTACTTATATCAATATAAGTAGCACGCACCACAATATCACTTGATGAATTGATACGGACGCAACAAATTCATATCAGCTAAGAGTGGAGAGAATCAGCTCTCTCTCTCTCGAAATTCTCTCACATGGCTACTGTCAGAGAAATTCTACTCACTGACTTCTCGTGGTGAAGATGTTGTTTACAAAATTGAGAAGATGAAAAATGAATGTCGGGTGCTTTAGCCGGATTGATAGACAGGGAGGATCTACTTAAGGGAGTTGAGAAAACCTGATTCAAAACCAATGGTTCACATAGGCTAACTCCATTACTCCGAAGGAACAAATGGTGTATGAATCAGTTGTTGGTCACCGACTACCATGGGACTGCATTTCCTGGTATTGCTCTATTGCCTTATGGATTAGACCTCGGGAAGTGGCCCCCTAAATAAAACCACGTGCTTATTTCTGAGCGCTCGAGCAGTAGCCCAGCCCTCACACAAGTCGGATGATTTGTGCGAAACATATCTATATGATGTCTCCTTGTACTTATATTTATATGTTTAAATAAATAAATATTTTCGGGACTCCTCAACCACGAGTTTAGAGCTACAAACTTTGTGTTTCTCAGCAAGCACAATATCTTTAAAGCACTGAGCTGGGACAGAATGAACCACTTTCGCAATGCAAAGAGGAGATGGTCTAATGGGTAGAGTATTTGGCTTTCCCACAGTTTGACAAGAAAAAAAACGAAAATAAGTCTGCGATTGATGGTACGATGTACAATATCTCTATTTGCAACTTTGGTTAGATGTCGATTTAGTGGGTATTCACCGTTCAATACTATCAGTGATAACTGCCTGATTTTAAATGTAATTATCTCTTTAGGTCATGACAATTGAAGAAATAGAACTTCAGGAAATGCATTTCAAAGTTACTTTCTATAAAGTACAGGATTTCGATTCAGTTAGCTAGCTTCGTAAAGATTTATATGTGCACAGTTTATTCCACTTGCCATATCACTGCTGTAGTTCAAGTTCAGAATGCCTTTTATTCGTTTACATCATGAACTAACTTAGAGCTAGATAATCATTGAAAACAAAGGATTATTGGACAAATGCTTCGTTTCCAGTAAAAATTAACTTGATAACCTCTATTTACAATCTCTCTAGGGAAACATAACCAGAGCTTCTAAGTCTCATGATCAGTGCGTTACTGTAAAACTAATGTTAGCTCACAACTTTAGTCGAATTTTCAGCGATGAATCTATCCTAGTATTATACTTCAACACTAGAATAGTTAGTAACCGAAATTTCATTCCTGTCCTCAATTATGGGACTTGGAGACAATAGATGTATATTATGATATCCTTGCTTGTCAGCACCAACCAACAAGATCTGTTAACAACCTGTTATTCGAGCAAAATGAGAAGTATCATGAAAGTGTACAATATACTTCTCTTCTTGACTTTATGGTTAAAGAATATTGTGTAGTAATTTAACAAGGGTCTAAAAACGTGAGTTCTAGGACTTTTTCAATGGAATGGGTTAGGATACTCTTCCTCTACAAATGACATATAATCCTTCTTTTGACAATGAAGAAGTTGACTTCTTCAAGACAATCTATTGTCATTCATTGCACAACATACTTAACCATACATTTGGCTTTGCATATCACTTCTTCAAATGCCTTATATCGATTAGCTACCATTAGATTGTATATTTGGGTCTCACTAAGTTAGTATCACTAGCTCAAAAATATAATTACGTGAATCTGCATATTTTTTCAACAAGTTGCGTTATATTGTTATGAATTCATTTATAAGATATTAATCAGTATTTATCTGAAGCATCAAATTGTCCATAACACTTATTTATGTAACACAATAGACTGTAATACCTTTAATGTACATCAGAACGGCTCTTAAATTGATAAGTCTTGCAGACTGAACGCTATATTCAGTTCCTAAGCTCTTCTAGTAACCCCCAAGCTAGAACTATACAGCGACCCGAACAGGAGAGAGAAGACTCAAAGTATACGAGAAGTACTTTACTCCAAGGTTCATTTCAATATAGAAAATACGATGCTTTTATATTTTAAATGTCCTTGGGTTGCTAGAACATTCTGGAATGCTACTAAACATAGTAGCAGTGTAACAATCAATCAATCAGGACCTCTACATGTGACGTTTCACTTCTTTGATATTTTTGGCTAAAACTTCAAGTAAATGCTGATTGAATGAAACGCATCTTAGTGCTTTCTGATGCTTGCTTATCTTTTGCAAGAAATTTCCTAGATCACTCCAACATAAATTATAATAGAAGAGGACTGTTTTATTTTTAAGTTTTATTATTTCATGATTATCATTTGTTTTCAATCAATAATTTATTCTATATAACATTTTGATTTCATTTATCTTAGTATTCAGCTAGTCGATGTAAAGTCTTACGTATACAAGATGCATGCTTTGATAATAATAATAATCAACCTCCATTGAAGGGTCATTGTATTCATCAAACTGTATTAGTTTTAGAAAATCATTCAAATAAAGAGAAAGTGTATCGATTAATATCTCCAAATGCACAATATTCATGTATTCAATCAATGATGTGTAAAAATTCAAATAGAAGTTCTTCCAAAGTTATGGAACATGCTGATCAATTTGGTGTTGCATTGAATTCTGATATTCAGGTAACTGTTGGTTTTTTTTTGTTCTTCACCAGTTCATTTATATATACAAATTGATTTTGATATGGCCGCCTGTAGCTCTTCTAAAGTTACTGCCGGTCACAAGCCCGGGTAAAGGAGGTTTGGTCATAGGGTCGGCAACCCCGTCTTGCTAAGAAAAAACGCCAACCAGATTAAACAAATTAAACCATCTAAACTCTGCCCTCAGAGTTGAAAGAAGAATTATGACTCCTCAGGATGAAAGCCGAGATTCTTCCGAAGTCACGAGGCTGATGCCTCTTCTAACAGCCAAAACAACAACTTTTATAGGTACATGGAACATCCGGACAATGTGGGAGACCGGGAAGACCAGTCAAACAGCAATGGAAATGAGGACATAAAAATTGGCAGTACTGGGAATCATGGCCACTGAATTGGATATTAGAAATTTTCATTTGTGATTTATCTTATCGATCATCTTATTGATTAAATGTTAGATATTTTTATTGGGGTCAATTGGTGAACTAATCGATTAAATGTTTGAATAGCAGTCAATGGATGAACTATCGATTAAATGCGCAAATAGGTCAATTAATGAACTCATTGATTAATGTTTAAAAATTTTCTATCGATTGTAAATAATTGTATAAATACGCTTGACTTGTATGCTTGATCTGATCTGCCTGCCTGACTGGTTATCTGCTGTTTGTCAGACACAATAGCATCTGGTATACCATTTCGAGAGAAAATTTCTGTGAGGATCTGTATTGTTTTAGTTGTCGTTGGCGGTATGATAGGGTTGATTTCAGGCCATTTCGAAAAGGCGTCGACAACAACTAGATAGGTGATTCCGTTAATTGGGCCTGCGAAATCGACATGTATCCTGGACCAGGGATACTCAGGCTGTGGCCATGGGACTGGTAGTATTTTCGCGTTACACTTAGCTGCTTGCTGACATTGTGTGCACTTGCTTACTAAATCCACGATATGTTGGTCCATGAGGGGCCAATAAGCATAGCTTCTGGCGATGGATTTCATTCGTTTTATACCAGGATGACCAGTGTGGAATTGCTTTAGCACCTTTGATCTTAGGGATTCTGGTACCACTACTCTATCTCCAAACATCAAGCATTCGTTTACGACGCATAATGAGTCCCGACGATGGTAAAGCTGTTTCAAGTCACCATCGAGTCCAGTCGGCGGCCAGCCATTTGTGACGTATTTCATCGCTCTCTTTATGATGGAGTCGTTCTTGGATGCAGATTGTATTTCAGCTGCTGAGACTGGCAAAGCACGAATAGCAGTTGTCAGGTAGCACTGCGCGTAGTCCTCTGTCATCAGGGAGGCGATAACTGTATCTTCGCCGGCCGTATGGTGTTCGCTGATAAGTCGCGACAAGGCGTCAGCCTGACCAAACTGTTGAGTGCGCCGATACTGAATGTCAAAATCATAACCCAGAAGTATCAAAGCCCATCGTTGGAGACGGTTTGCAGAATGGGCTGGAACACCAGATTTCGAACCGAAAATTGTGAGAAGAGGCTTGTGATCAGTGAGAAGAGTAAATCTTCGACCGTACAAGAATTTGTGGAAACGGCGTACTGCAAACACAAGAGCCAGAGCCTCTTTTTCTATTTGACTGTACTTTCTTTCTGCTGGGGTTAGTGTACGGGCTGCATGCATAATGGCTTTTTCCGACGCATCCGGAAACTGATGGGAGATAACAGCGCCTAGGCCATTCGCTGAAGCGTCTGCAGCTACGATGATCGGCATCGCTGGATCGTAGTGTGTCAACAGCAATTCAGAACTAATAATGGACTTCAGTTTACAAAAGGCAGTGTCACACTGTTTTGTCCAGTTCCAAGAGCTGTTCTTCTGCAGTAAGCTATTGAGTGGAGCGCGAATATCATGCATCGATGGAACGAACGCTGAGTAATAGCTGACAAGTCCCAGGAAGGAACGTAGTGCCGAGACATTAGTGGGAGTGGGCATCAGTTTGATAGCTCGGATATTCTCAGGATCCGGCCTGCGGCCATCGGCATCGAAAATGAACCCCAAGTACTTTACCGACTGCAAATGAAACTGGCATTTCTCTGGGCGTAACCGGAACCCGTTGTCACTGATGCGTTGCAGTACCAATGTCGTGCGTTCTCGTAGTTGTTCTAATGTCGTTGCTACAATTAAAATGTCATCCAAATAAGCCGCGACTCCCTGGATACCTGATAGGATGGTATCCATTAGCTGTTGGAAAATAGATGGTGCAGTTTTGACTCCGAAAGGTAGACGGTTATACTGGAATAAACCACGATGAGTATTGATAGTTAACAGCTCTCTTGATGCTTCGTCTACTTCCACTTGCAAATAAGCATCAGCTAGATCCAGCTTAGCGAAAAATCTTCCCCCATTCAGCATGGTAAATAGGTCTGCGGGAACAGGCAAGGGATAATGATGTTGTCCCAGAGCTGCATTGAGACCTGTTGAAAAGTCAGCACATATACGTATCGTGCCGTTGGCCTTCTTAATAACCACGATAGGTGCAGCCCATGCAGAGTAGGAAACAGGAGTGATAACTCCTTGTTGTTGAAGGCGGTTCAATTCTTCATCTACTGTTTGTAATGTTGCATAAGGGACAGGTCGCTTTGGGCGAAAAACAGGCTTAGCCCCAGTTTTCAATCGAAGTGTTGCTTTCATGACAGAGCAGCGACCCAATCCAGGTTGGAAAATGGTTGAAAACTCCGTCATTAGTTCTTTCGAATATGCTTCAGGTTCATGAGGTTGTTTCACCAGATGGCATACGGTGCTTAAAGGAACGTCAGCTAAATGTAGCTGGTCAAACCAGTCTAACCCAAGTAGATTAAGATCAGCTGGTGTGATGTAACATACACCGGTAAACGTTGAATCGTGAAAAGACACTTTACAATCTAGCTGTCCCAACAAACGTAGGTAATTACCGCATGCAGTTCGAGGTCTTTGTGTTGTTGGAACCATGCGTGGTCTTCCCATTCTGATCCAATATTTTCGTGAGAGAATTGTTACATCAGATGCAGTGTCTACTTGCAATCTAAATGGGTGCCCATTAATGTTAACAGTAATAAATTTTCTATGACACGGTGATGAGCTTTGACACGAAGATACTAAGCTCAATGAACTGGTGCGGGATCTAGGACAGGTCTTGTTGGTATTTCTTGATTGATTTGGAGTCTTCTTCCACAGACAAAACCCATCCTTATGACCGATAACCTTACACTTCTTGCATCGATGTTGATTAAATGGGCAGTTTCGAACGTAGTGCCATGCACCACATTGCCAGCAAGGAGCAGGAGGAGTTGCTTTAGTCTGTCGTCTAGAGCTGGAGTGAGATGGACTGGATGAAGCGGGGACGTGTTTGTTTTTGTGAGGTGTCTGTTGCACCGCTCGTACTTCAAATCGGCTAGAACCACCACTCTGGACCATAGAAGTGTCTCGTTGAAGATTAATGAGACATTGAAATTCATTAGCTATATCACTCAGGGTGAGTTTCGGTTCTTGATCCAAACGACTTAGTAGCCTTGTTCGTAAGTCACTGAACTTTTGGTGCTGTAGGCTGCAAATAAGGATCAGGGCTTTAAACTGATCTTCAGTCAAGGACTTTAACCGGAAGCGTTCGCATTCACGGTTGACGACGCCCACATGCGTAGGAAAATCATCATCTTCGTTCATAGTCAGCTTCAAGCAACGATAACGAGTATTAAACAGTGACGAGTTATCGCCAAAATGTTGGATTAATGTTTTGATCGAGTTAGCAGAGTTGGGGACAACGGACCAGAATAGACTATCGAGATTCTGAATCCTTGATCCGATCGATAAGTCACTGTCATATAATCGGCTGTCTCTTTGAGCCTTAACAAATTGGCGACGGTGGTTTCTGAATTATGGACCCTGCCAAACTTGAACTGTTACTTGAGCAGCAGCTAAAATTGATGCAAATGTTAATGGAGACCAAGGTTACGCCTCCCTTACAGCCAAGCACGTCTAATTCAACCACGGCACCATCAGTAGATGGCATCGCAAATAGCATAGCTGAATTTCATTACGATCCTGATTCTAATGTTACTTTTGAAATGTGGTTCAGGCGTTATGAAGATCTATTTAAATTTGATTTCGCCAATCAAGATGATGCTTGGAAAGTGCGGCTGCTACTTCGTAAACTGGGTGCAAATGAGCTGGACAAGTATTGCAATCTGATCTTGCCGTTGAACCCACGTGACCGATCATTTGCAGACACAGTTCAAACATTAATCCAACATTTTGGCGATAACTCGTCACTGTTTAATACTCGTTATCGTTGCTTGAAGCTAACTATGAACGAAGATGATGATTTTCCTACGCATGTGGGCGTCGTCAACCGTGAATGCGAACGCTTCCGGTTAAAGTCCTTGACTGAAGATCAGTTTAAAGCCCTGATCCTTATTTGCAGCCTACAGCACCAAAAGTTCAGTGACTTACGAACAAGGCTACTAAGTCGTTTGGATCAAGAACCGAAACTCACCCTGAGTGATATAGCTAATGAATTTCAATGTCTCATTAATCTTCAACGAGACACTTCTATGGTCCAGAGTGGTGGTTCTAGCCGATTTGAAGTACGAGCGGTGCAACAGACACCTCACAAAAACAAACACGTCCCCGCTTCATCCAGTCCATCTCACTCCAGCTCTAGACGACAGACTAAAGCAACTCCTCCTGCTCCTTGCTGGCAATGTGGTGCATGGCACTACGTTCGAAACTGCCCATTTAATCAACATCGATGCAAGAAGTGTAAGGTTATCGGTCATAAGGATGGGTTTTGTCTGTGGAAGAAGACTCCAAATCAATCAAGAAATACCAACAAGACCTGTCCTAGATCCCGCACCAGTTCATTGAGCTTAGTATCTTCGTGTCAAAGCTCATCACCGTGTCATAGAAAATTTATTACTGTTAACATTAATGGGCACCCATTTAGATTGCAAGTAGACACTGCATCTGATGTAACAATTCTCTCACGAAAATATTGGATCAGAATGGGAAGACCACGCATGGTTCCAACAACACAAAGACCTCGAACTGCATGCGGTAATTACCTACGTTTGTTGGGACAGCTAGATTGTAAAGTGTCTTTTCACGATTCAACGTTTACCGGTGTATGTTACATCACACCAGCTGATCTTAATCTACTTGGGTTAGACTGGTTTGACCAGCTACATTTAGCTGACGTTCCTTTAAGCACCGTATGCCATCTGGTGAAACAACCTCATGAACCTGAAACATATTCGAAAGAACTAATGACGGAGTTTTCAACCAGCGAACACCATACGGCCGGCGAAGATACAGTTATCGCCTCCCTGATGACAGAGGACTACGCGCAGTGCTACCTGACAACTGCTATTCGTGCTTTGCCAGTCTCAGCAGCTGAAATACAATCTGCATCCAAGAACGACTCCATCATAAAGAGAGCGATGAAATACGTCACAAATGGCTGGCCGCCGACTGGACTCGATGGTGACTTGAAACAGCTTTACCATCGTCGGGACTCATTATGCGTCGTAAACGAATGCTTGATGTTTGGAGATAGAGTAGTGGTACCAGAATCCCTAAGATCAAAGGTGCTAAAGCAATTCCACACTGGTCATCCTGGTATAAAACGAATGAAATCCATCGCCAGAAGCTATGCTTATTGGCCCCTCATGGACCAACATATCGTGGATTTAGTAAGCAAGTGCACACAATGTCAGCAAGCAGCTAAGTGTAACGCGAAAATACTACCAGTCCCATGGCCACAGCCTGAGTATCCCTGGTCCAGGATACATGTCGATTTCGCAGGCCCAATTAACGGAATCACCTATCTAGTTGTTGTCGACGCCTTTTCGAAATGGCCTGAAATCAACCCTATCATACCGCCAACGACAACTAAAACAATACAGATCCTCACAGAAATTTTCTCTCGAAATGGTATACCAGATGCTATTGTGTCTGACAACGGGTCACAGTTCACCTCCAGCCAATTCCAGTCATTCTGTCAACGACTAGCCATAAAGCACTTACGCTCGCCACCATACCACCCGCAGTCGAATGGGCAAGCAGAAAGGTTTGTGGATACGTTTAAGAGAGCCTTGGCTAAAACAAAGGGGGAGGGGACGCCAGCAGACGCGTTGCAAAATTTCTTATACGTGTATCGAACAACACCAAATGAAACGTTGCCGGAGCGAAAGTCCCCAGCCGAGATCCTAATGGGAAGAAGACTGAAGACAATCCACAGCCTGATGCATCCAAGGAATGCACCGACACCAGTACGGACAAAGTTTGAAAAGCAATCCACGTACGAAGTTGGATGTCCGGTGTTTGCCCGTGATTACAGACCGACCCATAGTCCATGGACAGAAGCGCGAGTGGTCAAAAGAGTTGGCCGAGTCATGTACGAAGTTGAGGTAGGTAGTGACAGGTGGCAACGCCATCGGAATCAGTTACGCAAACGGTTAGCCCCAGACCGCCCATCAACAGAATCAAATATTCCTCTTGACATTCTGCTAGACACATTCAACTTACCGGCAACCCCACCACAAGAAAAACCTCAACAACAAACTGAAACACGTCCAAGACGGTGGCCTATCCGAGAACGGCGAGCAACAATCAGGATGCAGGTTGACCCCAGGAAAGCCCGCTATTAAAAAGGGGAGGAGTGTTGGGAACGATAGATCCCCAAACTCATATTTTAAAATTTATCTTATCGATCATCTTATTGATTAAATGTTAGATATTTTTATTGGGGTCAATTGGTGAACTAATCGATTAAATGTTTGAATAGCAGTCAATGGATGAACTATCGATTAAATGCGCAAATAGGTCAATTAATGAACTCATTGATTAATGTTTAAAAATTTTCTATCGATTGTAAATAATTGTATAAATACGCTTGACTTGTATGCTTGATCTAATCTGCCTGCCTGACTGGTTATCTGCTGTTTGTCTGTAGAATACACTTTCTACACCTTACCCAGACTTTTTGATCGAGTTAGCAGAGTTGGGGACAACGGACCAGAATAGACTATCGAGATTCTGAATCCTTGATCCGATCGATAAGTCACTGTCATATAATCGGCTGTCTCTTTGAGCCATAACAGAAAGATAAGATATCATAAATATAGTTGGAGAGAAAAACTGAAAACGTATCCATGACGAAGTACTAGAAATCAAGAGTGCATCTGTCACTAAGTTATGTCACCCAATGTTCCCAACCAATGGTCGCGCGGCTCTTAACCTAACAGTTTGCACAGTTTATTTCGAATGAAGCCAAAACAAACATTGATGCAGAATAATATGAGTTTATTATATGTCGTGGTTTCTCATCAGCTGCTACCAACCATATATGTATTGAAAGAGAATTAAGTGAGTGAAAACTTTTCCAAACTCTTCAAATTCTGTTCAATTATTTACGTAACCCATCTTATCAACCTTTAATTCCAGTAATCTTATGTAAACACTTCATAACCTCTAAAATTATCACACAATCTAACTCATCTGTCTATGGACCTTATTTGATTAATGCATCACCCACCACTTATGGTTTCAATGCCAAATCCAAATGACCTGTAACCCGTTTTTGAGCATATATATAGTTATTATTGATAACCTTTATCATTCGAATTCATTTCGTTTATCTATGCTAATTGCTTCACTTTATACCTTACCTCATTGTTAACTTTCAATACATATCAATGGTTGTAAGCAGTTGATGAGAAACCACGAAATATAATAAATTTATATGATTCCGCATCAATGCTTTTTCAGGCTTTACTCAAATTCATAAAGGCAATCAATCGTATGAAATTTCTGAACACTTCATTTCAACAGTCAATGATCCCGTGTCTTAGTTTGACCGCTCCCGGCTTTCGTGAAGCCTACCCAAGCTAGTATTGTGTGTCGAGGTAAACGGTAGTCAGATAACTATTATTACTACGGCAGTTTGCAATTGAGCAGTGACGAGCGCCGTTCTTTAGGCTGATCGATTTCTATAGACCAGTCGAAACCCAAATAACTCAGTAGTGCAGTCTCCAACTGTGAACACTGGATGACGCGGATCTGTACTCTAAAAGAAGTTAGAGTGGTGTTTTATACTGCCCGTTATTGTATCATGTTGCACACTCTTATTTATCAAAGTAATAAAACACAACAAATAAATTTGAACAGAATTCAATATATGACCAGTTAGATAATCTTTTACAATTACTAACTACTTAGGAGTAGGCATCTAAAATATTCTGACTAGTTATTCACTATCTTGGAGAGTTTCTTAAGTTCTAGCGGAAATCTGTGACGTGAGTGGTGATACGTTTTATTTATCAATGATGGCCATGATATTTCAAGAGTTAGCTGAAGTTAGGAATGTGTACCATAGAATTTCAACTCAGCTTTTTCAAAGATATATTGCATTCGCCAACAGATTTAAAGATCCCTGTTTCAAACTGATGTGAAACGGTTATTTATTGTTTCCTGGCTTTTAGTTTTTATCTTGTAAGTTACAGTTCTTGATGAAAATAATCTCCAAACCATATCAAATATCTGTGGCGAAACATTGGGCATAATTTAAAAGCTTTGCGTGATTATTTAAATTGCCTCGTCAAACTGATCGAAAACACAAACTAATGTGTTAAATTATACAAATGCACTATTGATGCTACATAAAGAGTGACTATTCAATTTGTATATAAGGTTCTAAATTTGCTTGGTATTGTTTACTTGAATCCTCCCATTGATGTTTAGCACCACAACTGGTCAGTTTCTTACAGGCATATGTGTATTACCTCGATATTGCCTTAATTCACAAGCATTGGAAGCAAAGATGGGTAGTGACTAGCAGTGGAATCCAGGACGCGCGTTTCGTCCTACTTTGGGACTCGTCAGCTGGATGTATCTGCATGTCGGGGTTGATGTTCACTCTGGGACTCGAATCCAGTGCCGTTCGCTTCAAACGCCATTGCGTTATCCACTTAGCTACGGAGTCCTGATAGCCACTTGCTTGTGCAATGGAGTGAGAAGATTCAAATGATTCGCGGTAATGGCTTTAAGTCCAGCGTGAACATCAACTCTAAGATGTAGGTACATCCAGCCGACGAGTCCCAAATGAAGCAAAGCGCGCGTTCTGGATTCCACTGCTACCCACTATCTATCTTTGCTTATGTAAGATTCTGTTTGGATTCATCTACATTGTAGATTGAAAATATCGGCTACATTGGTCACGGTTTGAATATCATCACTGTTGCCCCCCCTATTTTTCCATGTATATGCAATGTTCATTCACTTATTTTTTAAGAAAAACTTTCACGCTAAATTAAATGAACAGACTAGATTTAGCTGTGAAATCTTTTAACATAACAATATAACAATATCCATTTAATGCTCTTCTCTATTCTGTATTGTCTATTTCATATTATAATAGATTACAAATAATACACATCGTGATCTGCTACCTTCTTGGTCATGGACTACTAAAACGGTGCATCGATTCAGTCAAATAATTAAACAAAAATTTGGCACTATTTCAAAAATAAATCGAAATAAATATGACTTGTCATCTAACATAACAACAACAACAACAACAACAACAAACATTCTTCCTCCTACTACTACTAATACTACTACAACTACTCCTACCACTCCATCAAATGATTATTTATTAAATAAATCATTCCAATGGCTTCTTCCATTACTTACTCTATTTCCATCTACCTCACAACAAGTATCTAAGCATATGTTTCAAACACCATTTCTCAATTTATCCACAATGGAATGATCTCAGTTTTTAAAACATTCTCTTTCTCTCTGTTTGTCTTCATTCATTTTCAGTTTTTGCTTGTACAAATAAGATTTTTTTTAATATATAAGCACATATGTGTAACAATTGGATAGTTATCATTTCCGTTAATTTACTTTATAATCTCTTATTTCTTATTATAGATTATTTGACTTTTATGCTATGGCAACTTGAACTGGATGTACATACGTACGTAGATACAAAGTTCTATGTTGTTGCTAACTGACTTATTGATTATTCATCAATAAATATCATGATCATTTTGTTATCACCCAAACACACACAAATCAATTGTTGGGCAAAATGTATAATAATAATAATAAAAAGAAAAATGATTACACAAAGAAATTTTTTTCTATTTCAATGATTTAAAAATGGAATATTCTTTGCTTCTTTTTTCTTTTTTTTTTAATGAAATAAATCATTGATTGATTGATTGATATGATGATTATGATTGTATGTTGGTTTTAATGAAAAAATCACTTTTTGATGGTCTAAATGCACCGGACATTGATGTGATCGAATCGAAATTGACACGTTCACGTATTTGTATTGATTTAATATTCTCTTCATGATTATTAATTAAGATAAGTTGATGATGATGATCAGTGATTTCGGACCATTCAAATTGTTTAATAAATTGTTTTAAATCATTCTCTGACATATCCAAAAAGCTCATTAATAAGGGTTTTGATATACGTTGATATGTTTGAGATATAATTTGGACAATAACTATACATGTATGTAGAGACAAAGAGAGGCATAGAGATGAAAAGACCATGGAAATTATTTAAAGGAGGGAAATATATATATATATACATATATGCAACTCTAAATATCCAATGAATGAATGGTGTATGAACCAACTGTTGGTTACTGGCTACCATAGGACTGCATCTCAGACGAACCTTCCAAATGTCCCGATACATCCAAGAACGGGGAGTCAGCTCATTCTCGAGAAATGCTCTCACATGCATACAACTACTACCCTAGATGTCCTACTCACTTCCTTTTCGCACCACGGGTTTTTATTTTATTTAAACACATAAACATTACTGCAAGGAGGCACCAAATAGATATGCGCTACATAAATCATTCGATTTGTGTGAGGGCTAGGATACTACCCGGGTGCCCAGACCGAAGCAGCTGGTTTTCTTAGGGGGCCATACCCCGAGCCTTTGACCTTAAGGTCTGATCCACAAGGCAGTGGAGCATCGTGAGGAGATGCAGTCCCATGGTAGCCGGTGACCAACGATTGGTTCCTTTAGGATACTGGGGCCCATGTGCACCGTTGGTTTCGAATCCGGTCAAAGCGCCGGACAATCGCTTTTCGTCCTCTCAATCTCGTAAACAACACCCCCGCCACGAGAAGGCAGTGAGTAGGACTTCTCTGACAGAGGCTACCATGGAACTGCATCTCCTAACGTTTCTCCACTGCCTTGGGAGTCAGATCTTTAGGTTGAAGGCTCCGAGTGTCCCTCTAAGAAAACCACCTGCTTCGATCTGGGCGCCCAGGTAGTATCACAAATAAAGTGACCTGTGTGGCGCATATGTATTCGGTGCCCTTTGTACCAATATTTGTGTTCAAATAAATAAATGACTAAGGAGCTAAGCTATTGAAATTATGAACTAGACTAATGGACATGTTGCGTAATAATAGGCCCTCAACCATGATTGCTTTGCAAAAATTTATAATGCGACTAGGTTGCAGGTTCAACCCTGCTTCACCTACTTTGGTTTGGATGGAACCATTAGTCTTTAAATGTAAAATGTGGCTTACGGTTGAGTATACGAATCTGTGCTTGACAAGTGAATTATATCACCGGATTTATATAAAATGTGGCATGTGTTCCAGTTGGAACCTTATTAATCCATTGAAAAATAATTAGAGGGATTTTGGTTTTAAAATTTACCTTACTGAAATGTATAATAGATAGTCACTGATTTTATCTCACATAGACTGATAAGGAGTAGATGAAGGTTATGCGCTCTGAAATACTATACGTTATTTGTGAATCATGCAGCCATTACTCTAATCAAAAAAGTGCGTCAAATCCAACTACTGATTTCTTCAAACTCAAATGAGTTTTAGAATGCGTTACAGTTCAGGAGTTTTTAGATAGTTTCCCATCGATAGGCGACCACAGTTATTTGGTAGCTAACATCACGTTTCAAACGAAGATTATTAATATGGCCACACTGAATGTATAGTGATAAGTGAATCCTTAATTTTTACCGAAAACTACATCACCGAACAAGTGAACGATTTGAGTGGAATTTGAACTGATAATATCCAGTCACTTCCTGAACAATTCTATAAATAGAGTCTGTGCATTTCAAATTTGTTTAATTCCTAACTGTTGCTATCATATATTGGTAGTCAGACCTGTCTGTCGTGATGACCCACTCGAACTACAATGACAACGAAACTTGTTCTTTTGGGTTTTACTATGCTAGATAGATTAGTTGGAAAACAGTGAGATATCCCCTTCCGACAGTCATGCAGTCTCCCCGCAATGTAACATAACACTACACGTCGTCAGTGGTAAGGTACTAAAAGTATAGAGGTAACATTAAAAACTACTCTCAAATTAACAAAATCACTAATAAACCACTTTCCTTCCCATGAAGTATGCCTCAACAGTGCGTGCGACCGAGAAGTGATGACCAACCACGCATCTTAACCAGAACACAAGATTGCCTTGTTCAAGATCGAATCCCACGTCCACTTCCTTATAATTATCTACCCCTCTACAATTTTAACACCATGCCTCATTAAAGCCGACGACTGAACTTCAGGAAGTGTCATTTTTGGTCTTCGGAAACTACACTTAAAACTACATGGTGAGCCTTTTAAGTTTCAAAGTTTGATTCAGATCAGAAAATAGGGTTCAAATTAAGTATGAATTGTGGAAAGAATCTCAAAAGTGTATTAATGAGTTCCTGTCGCATTTTTTAAATATATCGTATACCTGTAGTGAAGGATTTTTTCTCTGACCAACTACCTAACTTACAACGGCTTTTATTTTAGCCACACTAAAATCTCCCCCCTTCAACATGACGATTTTGACTAACCTGCCTGTACAGCACTTGATTATGTATCTGGTAATTCATCTTTTTAGTAATCTTTGAAGAAATACACTGTTTAACATGGGCATAGAAGAACCTAAAGAGACGTGTTCCAGTCAATACTCACAAAGGCAACCAAAAGAAAACTACACCAAAGTGGCAGCTATGGTTCCCAAACTTAGTCTGAACACAAATGCTTAAATCACTAGCTTACCACTCTTCTACAGTGGATGAGTGACTTATGATTAACCAAACAAGAACACAGCACAATACCAATTTGATGAACATATTATTTGTCAGAGAACAACTAAAATACTCAATCAGCAGTGCTTCAGGACTGGTCGGCATCAACACCTGAACTAAGGATAGAGAGTGAAATAGTTGAACGCGTTGACAACTTCATTAATTTGGAAGTTTGATCAGCCCTAACGGGATGGTGTCTGACGAAATCTATACAAGGATTCGAAAAGCTTGTTTGGTTTTTGTCTCAACTATAGCAAGGGTGAGATAACCGTCTATAGATTAAGGGATAAGTATACTGTACAGCAGGTCATTATGTTCAACTTTACGACTGTGAAACGTGGCTAATAACGGTAGAAGATACTCGTAAGTTACTAGTATTTGATCACAGATGTCTTAGAAATATTGCTCGTATCTGTTAGGATCACTGAGTAAGTAATGGTGAAACTAGACGCAGGCCACGATAAATCAGCTGATGAGGTTGTGAATCTTCATCGACTGAGAGGGTTGGGCAACGTGTTACATATACCTGAACACTGGTTACCACGGCGTGCAGTGCTGACTAGTGTTGGAGCCGTTTGGAAGAAAGTTGGGGGCTACCAAACCAAAACGTGGCATCAGTCCTTGAAGTCACTAACCTCTGGTATGAATCATGTTGGTAAATGAAGATTACTTGATTGTGGTCCACATGACTGTCTTGACCAATGGTTGGAGACTCTGAGTGACATGACTGAGAACCGATCACAATGGCATTGGTGTATACACTCTCTGTCTTCCCTTTAAACTATGAGATTAAAATTGTTTTATACCTTTCTTTCTACCAACGAATTCTTTCTCTCTGCATTATATTCTTATATGAAATCTTCCGTCTATATATTACTATTGAAGTAACTACTCCTATGAATTTAGGGCTAATGAAGTGTGGCTACTTGGGTCGATGCATATATGTGTCTGGTCGTACGTTGTAGTTGACTGACTGGTGACAGATATCTACAAGTTGTAATTATTGAGTACACCGCTGTAGTTTACTTTAGATCACAGCAACATATTTCGGAAAATGTCGTTAAACCACTAAGACTTATGGGCACAACCTAGTTTTTAAAAAAATATTCCTAAACAATGCTCATAAAGCAAGTTATAGACACAGTAAATGAATGGATTCAAATGCATGAAACTGTTTCTATGAAAACTAGGTTACTTATAAAAAATTAAGTATATAAAATTCTGGAGAAGGCAGTACTTACATCTACATACAGATTCACGGAATCCAGGGATAGCAGAAAAAACTTTGGGGTTTTCTTTAACTTTCGTCTACACACTAAGTAAAACAATGAAACTGAACAAACCCAAAACTCAGAAAACCGACAGGTCTCCAGGAGAAACCCAAGTTCCACAACCTGTGAAAGTGGCTCTTCACTGAGCTAACTTTAATAATGTATATCAACTACTTACATGTTCTAGGTGAATCAAGTACTTGCACAATGTAAAATCTGAGTGACTCATGCTTATAATTGCCTTCAGCAGCACTAACCTCGCACACTCAGCATTGAAACGTTCCGGATAGAACTGATATCTATGTAAGAAGAGCTAATCACAAAGACTTGTTAAATACAATCTAAGCAGAGCTAAATTAGCTTCGAAATCATAATCATTATTTATGATCTGCCATGAAAGATGTTCTTCAAGTGCTGTTATGTGTTCAGGGTTATAGCTAATGTCTTTTAAAATACATACAGGTTAATACCTCTCTATTCCTTGTAGTTTGCTTTTGATGACTGTCTTACGATCCATAACGTGAAACACTTCAAGGAACGCGCCAGTAAACGCTCCGCCTACTGTGGGTCTGTTCCTTTTTGGGATTTTACATATCATTGCCTTATTCTAGTTTTTTATACACTGTGATTTTTTCCGTGTTTTTGATAAATATATTTTCTCACTCGTTCATTCTCGTACTCCGATACTTCTCCATGACTGAACAGACACCCAAGGTACTTGAGTTCTAACTAATGCCCTTCTGGCCAGACAACATCGAAGCCTGGCTCTGCTACACAGAAGCCAACTTCTACGTGCATGGCGTGAACGATAGAAGTGCACAATTCCTCGCAGTAGTCAAGGCAATACCGCGCGAATTCAACAGGTACGTAACACCTAGCGTGTTTACTATTGATGCTTCGGAACCCTACGAGACACTGAAACGATCTATCCTTAGACGCAGAGACCTAACTGATCGACAAAGGTTAGACCAACTCTTTAATAACATCGGCTGGCAACACCGTTCAGCGACAGACATGTTACAAAGAATGAGAGAGGTTATCTGCCAAAGAACCTTCGATGATGGCCTATTCAAACAACATTTCATATCCAAACTTCCTCAATAGGTGCAAGCTGTGCTGGTCTCGTTTCAGAACAACGTCTTAGACGAGCTGGCTGCATCTGCCGACCACATCTTAGAAATCACGAAATCTTCTAATGCCGAGGTTTTTTTAGTCAAAGAAAAGCTTCAAACGGCCCAGAATGATATTACAGAATTACGTCGTACATTTACACGTTAACTTAAATGTCGTAACGACCGTAAACGGTCACACAATCCACGAAGAAGCACTTCACGTAGGCGATCTGTTTCTAGACCACGAGAGACGGATAACTCCGAATGGTGCTGATATCATAACCAGTATGGAAAATCCTCCAGAAATTGCAGAAAACCCTGCCATTTTTCCAACTCAGAATCGACCGACACTAAAAACAATTCGGAAAAATTCCTAGCCGGTATGCGTTAAAGGCAACCGTAGCCGGCGAACATAGCCGTCTGTTATACGTCACAGATGTGATAACGAAAGTTCGCTACCTTGTCGACACTGGCGCAGAAGTTAGCGTTCTCCCAACGAATTCCAACTACCGGTTTCACGAATCTGCTTTGAACTTACAGGCGGCAAACGAAAAGCCTATCGCTACGTATGGCAAAAGGTACGTTTACCCTAAAATGGGTTTACGCAAGCCTATTCACCAGATTTTCATTGTTGCAGATGTAGTATAGACCTCCTACAACACCATAATCTAATCGTCGATACGCGCAAGCGGAAGCTATAGCCTCTGTCTACTATAGTAGACAGAAACACTAATTTGTCTGTTTGCGTAACTTTTTTATCCGGTCGCAGATTATCCCCAGTCACAATTAAGCACATGACGACTGTCTAATAGCAAGTACGGACAAAGAATCGCATCTCAAGCATCTGGATCTTGTTTTCGACCGACTACAAAAACATGGCATCACCGTAAACATTCAGAAATGTCAAATCGGAACCGACTCATTAGACTTCCTAGAACACACTATATATGCTCAAGGCATTCGACACCTTAGGACCAGAGTGGCGGCCATTCCGAATTACCGTGAACCACCCACTATCAAACAACTACGCACATTTAACGGCCTACTAAGTTTCTATAGACTGTTCACACAGAAATGCGTGTCATTTATGAAACCGCAAACCGACCGACTTTATGGAAATGCGATATCCATCAATCTGGACGACACCGCGCGAAAAACATTCTTCACAATTAAGGAAATTATCGCTCAAGCAACAATGCTTGCACATCAGGAAACTCAAGCACCCATTACTGTCGTATTGGACGCATCCGGTTCAGCAATCGGAGGAGTCTTACAACAATGGGTTAACCCCTCCAGGCAACCTTTGGCATTTTCCTTTAGACGGTTGCTAGACACTGAGTTGTGGTACTGCACTGTCATGATTTTATGTCCGGCTTTTTATTACGTGATTTATCCACCAATCAAAATACGAGTTATACAAATATTTGCACTATGCCAAACCAATGACGTTCGACCGGTATGAGCAGCCTATTATCCTTATTGGTCCTATGTCTTCCTAGCCCGTCTCCTTGAGTCCAGAAAACATTACCAGCTTCAGACATTTGACACATTTCTGGCGCAAACAATGTAGTCGCAGACGCCTTGTCTCGTATGACTTCTCTGAACAGTTTCCAAGGAATCGACTTTCTCAAACTCGCCCAGCTTCAAAAAGAAGACATTGATCTTCAGCACGAGTTACCCCCAACAACCCTTGGGCTGAGCAATAATCAGATAGGAACAGATAACGAAACCTTACCTTGTGACACATCCACAGGCAGAGACAGCCCAGTCGTGCCTGAACATTAACGATGCAACGTCTTCAATATGTTGCACAAACTTTCTCATCCAGGTGTTCATGTAACCATCAAACTGATAGCACAACGATTTTGCTGGCCTGGTATGGATAAAGACGTGAAGGGGTGGGCACGCTCCTGTGCAAGCTGACAAAAATCAAGGGTTATTTGACAAAACAAATGTCCCTTTGGCTCTTTCAAAAGTTCCGACGCTCGTTTCGACCATGTTCATCTGGATTTGGTAGGACCTTCACCAGATTCAAATGGATACTCTTATCTCTCAACCTACGTAGACCATTTCACTCGATGGCCAAAAGCAGTAAATATCAAGGACATCACTGTTAAGACATTGGCTCGCGCCTTCGTCGAACGATGGGTAAATGGTTGAGATGGTTGAAATGGTTGTGGACGGAATAGAAGAAGCTTTCGCTTAACAGACTTCCGTGTCTAGTAGCAGGGGATCACGAAATCCTCCAGGCAGGAACCTAGGTATGTTAACAATAAAAGAGGAAAAGAAATTGGTAAATCATAGTGTGATGCTGTCCTTGATCCTTAAGAATAGGTCAAGTCGCCTCTTGAAGGACTCCTGAGAAGTCGCTTGGACTAGCTCGGCCGGCAGCGAATTCCAGCGTTTGACAACTCTTAAGGAGTAGAAGTTGTGTCTACATTCCGTCTTGCTATGTTGTGTTTCCAGTTTCTGGGTGTTACCCCTTAGGTTATTATTCGAACTAAGCTTAAGTAGGTGTTTAAGAGGATGTCCAGAAGTGTTAAGAATACTATAAGCCATTAATAAATCACCTCTAAGACGCCTATATTCTAGTGGGTAGCAAACTTCGGCTGCCCTTCAACCATCACTACAGATCGCGGACGTCAGTTTGAATCCAAACTTATCCGTCGTTTGACCACACTTTTAGGAATCACTCGCTTCCAAACGATTACCTACCACACACAAGCAAACGGGTTGGTAGAACGTTTTCACCGACAACCAAAAGCTTTCCTATCAGCTGCAAACGTTTCTCAGTGAACTGACGCTCTTCCACTCGTGTTACTAGGTATTCGCAATGCAGTGAAAGCCGACATTGGATACACTGCGGCTCAACTCCTTTATGGAACGACATTTCGACTTCCAGGAGAATTCGTGGATCCTTCATCCTCTTCAATGAACATGGATCTAACCTTCTACACAAACAGGCTTACAAACGCAAAGCATTCAGTTAAACCTGCTTCCACTCGACCTCAATCAACTGATGTTTTCGTTCAACCTGACTTACAACATAGCACACGTATCTTCGTTCGTCGAGACTCACATCGATGACCTGTCAAATCAGTATACGAAGGACCTGTAGAATTATGGTCTACTATAACATTAGTGCCGCTCTAATAATAGACCTAATCCTAAATTTGTCGATTTGTCATGATATAACTGCCTAATCTATAAGATCTTACGTGGAAGTCACATCATCGACTACGCCAACTCACTGTCTCGTATCAATTACCAATACATGATGAAGAACAAGCTTAGGCTAGAGAAAGAACAATATATTTAATATGAATAGGAGATATAAGATAACATCTAGCATGGACCACGCCTGCATGGACGAGCCATGCCACTCGATCAACTCCAGTCCATTCAATTCATTCTCTGCGCCTTCTCCATTGGTAGGTATTTCCCCGAGTTAAATATTGAATATCTATTTTCTGAGTAGTCTCGTGTTCACAGCTTTGTGGATTGTGTGGCTATTGTTCAATGCCACTACACTACTCTCCCACCAGAATCAACGTGACGTTGGTTCGATACCAAATCGGATGGGATCGTCGCGCGCCGGAGGTTACCAAGGATAATAAGGATTCTCCGGGTATTGATAAGCTGAAAGATAAATCAAAAAGACGGCGGCAGCATCTGGTCGGGAAATACATGTAATAATTTTAAAATATCTGCCTTCATGCTTAACATGCTTGAAATGAAAATTTGGGTGAAGATTATTTGAGCTATAAAAAATGGGATTACAATAATAATAATAATAATAATAATAAAACGATGCGTGTTAATAACCGTTGGTTAATAACTTAACGTATAGGTAGTAAGTATTTTGTGTTTAGAAATATTAAAGTAATGAATATTGTAGAAATGTTAATATTGGTATTAGTTTTGGTTTAAACTATGAAATCAGATAACGATTATGCCGGTAAGTTGTCCATATGAATTGATTTCCAATTGCATCTGTATTAGTAGGCTAACTGAAGGAACAAAAGTATTTCCATGAAAAGGAATTCCAACTAGTATTCCAGTTAGTTTGATACGGTTTATTTAGTTACGGGGAGATTTTCTCAACCTCATTTTTACTTGACCGTGATAGAATTTAGTAATACTACTAATACACATGAATAGTTATCAAAATAAAATTTAGATACATGAGTGATAATTATATGGATTTTGGACAGATAGCTAGGAAACAATCGTTAAACATGAGTGTGTTCGTAAGAGACATGCTCTAGACTCAATGTTCTGATCTGCGATAGACTATTTATTTATATTTATACTTGCCGGCTGATGGTGCATACAAGTTAGTTGCAAGTATGCCGTTTATCATAAAGCGGAACACGATTTGAGATATGGTGATTATAAGTTACTG